AAAATTGGCATTTATTCATGCTAAATTTACAGGACAAATTATTAAAAATGTACGTCTGTTAAAAATAATGATATGAGAATAACTTAATCAACAAATATGTGTAAATGTTAATAAATATTCCTATTTTTAGTGGATTTTTAAACAATAATCACATTTTTTTTATAGAAATACATTATACAGAAAATATTGATTAATTACACTTTTATTTAGTTTAAAAATTTTTGCTTGTTGAATAATATAGGTTTTTAAATGTTACACCCTTAAATCAATATTATCATCATTTTGACATTCGTCTGTCATTTTCTTTCGTTTTTATAGACGAACTTTACAACTCTTAAATATACATCTAATCCTGTACATATATAATAAGATGTTTATTTATAGTAACAAACAAATAAAAAAGTTCTTCATTTTCTTTACTTTTTTAAATAATTAGAAATATAACTGTGACAATTCTAATATTTATAGATATTAAATACCAATCGATCATTAGCGCATATTAAATAATTCACTTTGAGTTATTATTAAGTACCCAGTGATTTATCTTTTTTAGCTTAAACCTTTCTACCAGTCGATAAAATTTATTGCAAACGCAAATACAACGAAGGATGATTATAGTTTAGCTATTTATATATCTGCATCAATTTCAATAGGTGAATGTTTGTAATTTAAAATCATCATATTAAAACAATATTAATAAAGATTTTTTAGATTAATACTAATACAATTTATAATATCAAATATTATACTTACCAAACTGTTATATTATATATTCAATATTCTTAAAAATCTAATCTTTTTTAATGTTATTTATTGTTATGTACTTGCACATAACAACCAATCATAATTCTTTGTTACTATTCTGACAAATGAATTATTATGAAACCAATAATTTTCTTTAGATTTATTTAATCAATACTCCTTTAAAACTATAAATACAAAAAAATTATAAAAACATGGAATCAATAAATACTTTTTCTTTAATCGAATATTATTTAAAAAACAACACAGTTTCAGCGAGTTCTGCCATTTATATTGCCAGGATTATAAATTATACATATTTTAGTTATTGCAGCTAATACTAAAAAATGAAAAATCTTAATAAATACTTACAATTAAATTAAAAATAAAAAAAGGTAAATTTATCTTTATTATATGTCTAGAAATAATGTTATCTAATTTTCACCTAAATAATTTTAAAATTTATTATCTTGCTTGAAATATACATTTGGAAATAGCTGGGGAAGAATTATATCTCAAAAATTTTTAATTTAATTACCAAAATAAATATTCTTTTTATTAAAATGCTTATTTTATTAAATGATGTATATTTGATGTTTTGGATATACTTCCACATTTTTACATAACCCATTGTTCTTCAATATATTTTATTGTGTGTATTACATATAATCAAACCAATAAATTTACTATAATATGGCTATTCATACATAGCATATACATTATGGAATTAAAAAGTAGAATTTTTTTCTCTATTATCTATTTGTCTTTGTATTTAGAACCAAAGTGTTTTAAATAAATTTTTATTTGTATTTATTATTTTTTTTTTAATATCCAATCAAATAGCTAGAAGATTTTAGAAATTTTAGCTGGAAATAAAAAAAGATTTTTTTATTAACAAATTGTATGAATAACATTCGCCCAAATTTCAGCTTCATGCCGATCTTTTTTTAAGTGCTAAAAAAATTTTTGGCGCCGCTCATTAAATCCTTTTTTAATTCTTCGACTACAGCAACTTTAATTTTTGAATATTTTTACGATGTCTATCATTAACATTTTTCTTCAGAATATACCATAGATTCTCAATCAAATTTAGATCGAGTTATTGAGATGACCATTCAATAATATATATTTTTTATCTAAAAACTCCCTTGATGTGTGCTTTGGATCATTGTTCTTTTGAAATAAAAAATCTTCAGCATTTTTAAATAAATAATCATTGAGCAGTGTAGTATATGTAAAAACATCGATTTGATTTGAATAATGAATTATTTTTGACATATTTCTCCAAAGCTTCTCTTAACAATTATTGAACTATAACTATAATTCATGGCAGGTTCTAAATTTTTCATATCATACCGCAAGACATCTTTAAACCAGCAACAGGCTGCTCTATTTGATTTTAACAGTAATTTAATTGTCACCCGAACCCTTAATTCAAGTAGCTGCTTTTTTTTATATTTATTATTTGTTCTAGAGACATAGGGAGTTTGTAAATTGAATTTTTCTGAACTTTTTTGATTCTTTTTAATTTTGTATCGAGCTATAGTTCTAGGCTTGAACAAAAGTTTTCCTCTTTAAACAAAAGCCTTATAGAGTTTTTTTCTTTTAAAAGGAAATTAAAAAATTATTTTTTTTATTTACAGGTAAAATTAATTTTTTTGAAATTAATAAAATAAAATTCTTATTAATTTATTTAAACCTTCTAATCTAATAAAAAATTTATCTTTTGTATTTAAACAATCTTTTTATAAAAGTAATTATTGACCTTTTAAGTGCTTTTTGTAAAGAAATTAAATTCTATTTTTTAATTCCTCTATTGTGTATAATGATGATAATGATATATTTATTGAATTTTTATTTGTTGTTATGTTTATAAATAGTTATATGTTTATAAATTATACTTAAATGCATCTATGATAAATGTATGTATTTATTTTATATATATAAAGTATTAATAATTGGGGTTTGTTAATAAAATTTGTAATCTTAATAACAAAGCAATTTAGAAACAACAAAGAAAGATAAATAAATAAGATTTATTTTTAACAAGAGAAACATATCGTTTCTGTTAGAACGGTAAGACACATGTCAAATATCAATGTGTTGCTTTGCTTAAGATATATTTGACATGTTCAAATATATATATTTGTATTTTTAAATAAACCCATGTTTTTTGTAAAAGCACTTTATAGTTAACAACGGTTTCTAACAATATATACATAATTTATTAATCAAAATTTATGGGCATTAGTTTATTATTGTAGGTAATATATCAGTTGTGAGTATTT